TTTTTGCTCCCTCCCAGCTCCCTGCCAGACAGTCCACATTTTTGCTCCCTCCCAGCTCTCTGCCAGACAGTCCACATTTTTGCTCCCTCCCAGCTCTCTGCCAGACAGTCCACATTTTTGCCCCCTCCCAGCTCTCTGCCAGACAGTCCACATTTTTGCCAGAAGCTGGCAGAGAGCAAAAATTTGAACTGTCTGTGGGTCCCAGAGAACTGGGTTGGGAAACATTGATTTAACCAATAGGCTAATGCAGCTGTTCGATGTAAATATTTACGAGTAAATTCTTTAAGCAATGTCAGATTTAGCTTCTGTCCCGGTGACTTACACCCCCGTCCCCCCAGACCAGACAGAGGTGGAGTGCAGCCCCAGTGCAGAGACTTCAGAGCAGCACCAGCTCCTGGAGCAGCTGCAGTCACGCTACCGGCAGATGGAGGAGCGCATCACCTGCCCCATCTGCATCGACAACCACATCAAGCTGGTGTTCCAGTGCGGCCACGCCTCCTGCATCGACTGCAGCGCCGCCCTCAAGACGTGCCCCATCTGCCGGCAGGCCATCCGCGAGCGCATCCAGCTTTTTGTGTGATGTGGCCGCGCCGTCGGCCGTCAAAGGTGGCCACCCGCGAGCACCCCCATCCCGCTCACGCCGCTCTGCTGCGGGGTTAGAACGCTGAGCACCCATGTCTGGAGTGTGCCCCCACCCCTCCACTGGCATCCTGAAGGAACCAAGGCAGGGCCGTCCCACTTTGGACCCGAGCCTGCCCCCACATTCCTGCAGCCAACAGGTCACCCAGGGGGAGCCGCCAAGGTGTGTGTCAGCAGGCTTCAGGGCCACTCGTCTGTTACGCCGTTTCTCCAGCGAGGACGTCCTCGCCGGAAGGAGACCCCATCAATCTCATCCATCATCTTGTTTACAGAGGCTCTGACAAGTGATAATGACCCCCCAACCTCTGCTATTTGTCTGATTTTACTCATTGCCCTCGTCTTAGTCATGGTCATTTCTGTAATTGTATATATATATAGAAACATGCGCACATATATACAGATGTGTGTGCATATTGTAAGTACAGAGCTTGTATTATTTGTGGTGAAAGATACCAGTTACCTGTTTATTTATGTCCCAAAGGGTTTCCTATTTATGTGAATCGTGTTCTTCTCCTATTCACTCTGTGGAAACACCCTGAGCCTGTTCACCCTGCCATATGCTGCTGTAGTCAGGGTTCTGAATCACTAATCTGTCTAATCACACCTGGCATCTTGGACAGCGTACAAATCCAAGCTAAAAGAACCCCCCCTCAATTTGTTTCATGCTCACATTTGAAAATGTTTTATTTGGTAGTGAAGGCCTCTGACGTGAGAATGGCCCTCGCAGACCATGTGCACAGGTTCCCCGCAGTCCTGTGATTCCATCCTGTTGTGTGGGAGGATTATCATCTTGACAGTAGTATCTGGAAAGGCCTTGGCTTCATAACTGTGGCCACACATGGCAGCACGTGCCGTTTCACCCCTGACTGTCTTCACCTGGACTTCACCGCCACCGCACACATATCAGGCTGATCCACGTGACGGTGTGACAGCGGTGTCGCCTCCGTTCAGCCAGATCCCAGGAGTCCGGACCTCCACGCTTCAGCTGCCGCTGTTACGTTGGTAGTCGAGATCCTCGGCGTGCATCGCGACAAATTAGCATGCCCTGTAGCCGCCGTGAGCTAAGGGGAGCCCTAAACCCCTTACCTGCAGTTGCGTTTTGCACAGCTGGAAAGTTGTTTTCTTTTTCTAAAACGTAAAATATAACGCACCAAAGCTGAAAAATGCAGTCAGATGTATGCAAAGGCTTCTTTCTGTCACAGTGTAAAGCCAAAGGTGTGTCCATTTGACAGCCTTTGAATGAAATTTCATTTTCTTTATTTTATTTTTATTGTAAACCTTATGCATAAGGACTTAAAAGGGCAAAATATTTGTTTTGTGTGTGTCTGTCCTGGACAGTTTCTTTTCACAGAGGAAGAGGAAGAAGGTCCTCCCCACACGGATAATATTATCATTCAACCACAAGAATTCCCTTTACACAGGCACATTTTCTTTCAGAAGGGCTTCTGTAGATATATACATCCTTTTTCCCCCTCATGCTCAATTTTGTATGTTGTAGGGGCTTCACAGAACTGTCGCCTCAGGCTTGCTTATTGGGGGTTCAGGACGGTTATATGTAAAGTGCTTTGGGACAATGACTTGTTAAAAGCGCTATATAAAAAAAATGGAACAAACGTCAGTGTCTGACACCGTAAGCCGTTTTATGGGCCTTTCGTTGGAGGTTAGTAAGGACAAGCGGTAAATGCAGTTTACCTTGACACAGTACTGCACCGGTGCCAAATCCAACTAGTAGTGGGGATGCCAGGGATGTGCAAAGTGTGCTGAGGCCATGTGCAGGACGCTTTCTTTACCGTGCTTATTTACCCCAAGTAAATACACCTCCATCAGGAACCTAGCAGATATGAAGACATTACTTTTAATTTTGTGTTAATAACAGAAAAATTGGATGTGCAAATAAATGAATGCAGAATGTATTGAAAAGGTGGATGGAATGTACATTAAAGGGGGAAATCCTTTGTACCTCACAGACTGGCTAATAGTAATTGTTTCGGTGGCGTGGCCCAGCCAACAAGTTGGCATCAGGCATAATACTGGGGAAATACCTGAATCCCATAGTGTGTCCTTCCAAAGCAGCCCTCTTGTTTTCCTGAATAATATGCCCTCTATTAGTCCCCAGAATCACTTCTTGCTTTTCTTTTTCCGTGCACCCATTTTTAAGGTGGTGCATCTGACTGAGAGGGGGCTGATTTACTGTACTGGTGAATTAGGAGTGAACTTCTGAGGTTTGCAGTATTATAGAACCTAAACACAGGGTCAGAAACCGTTAATAATTATGACTATCAAAACACTTTATTTTTCAAGTATTGTTTCTCATCATACTCCTTTTTGTTGGAGGCAATTATTTAAACTACAAACGTTATATATGTTTGTACAGCATTTTTAGTTCTGCTGTTGGCCTTACTGATAATTCCTTTTGTTTTATTCTGTAAAATACAATTTTGCAATAAATATGGAAATGTTTTATAAGAATGCTCGTCTTTTCTGTTGGAGATATGTGCAGTGTGATTTGCTTGTCTAGATTCCTCAGTGGCTCATTGTTTGACCATTTACATAACATTTGCTTTCACGAAAGCCAGTGTTTCCCAATCTGGTCATTGGGGACAACCAGACCGTCCATGTTTCTGCTCCCTCACAGCTCCTGATAGCATAGCATCTAGAGGAACTTGCTAAAACATATCCTTTCTCATTCTATTGCAAGTACATTCTAGTAGTAGAAGATTAAGTCATTTAGTTCCACTTTGTCATATTAATCCTAATTGGTTTACAGCACAGAGCCCTTGCCATATGACTCAGGGCTTTGCAGTGACCTTGCAGGGAGGTCCTGTCCTCCTTTGCCTAAATTCCAGTGACGGTTATGCCCCGAAGGGGAGCTGGTAGTCTCACCTAATCCCATCGACACTAAATCCTCTCAGAGCTAAAGCCACAGTCCAGCCATTGCTCCTTAGCTCAGAGGTGAATGCTACCATTCCCAAGAAACCAAATGAGATTTACTTTACAGCACTTCATTTAAGGGCCCCGGATTACAGTTTGCAGGTGGGCTTTTGTGCACTGTGACTAGCACCACATGGGTTAGAGGTTCAAATGTGCACATTCTCCCAGTATCACCCCTCCTCCTTCCTGCAGCTGGAAGACGCATGGTCAGGCTAACTGGCATTTCTGAATGCCCCCTAGTGTATTGTAATGGGTGTATATGTGCCCTGTAATGGACACAGCAAGGTAACCCAGTCTGTATGACTTTTATTGTGGTGGTGATCACTCTTACAGACAATAAGGGATAAAACCACAGAGAAAAATATCAGACCCCTGCAATTTAAAAGCGGGGGGTGGCCATGTACAATATAAATCGCCCTGGTAATTGGATAATTGGTCAGGCTTTTATTGGATAATTTTAAGTGTAGATTCTCACGGTTAAATATACAGTGAGTACTTGCAGTAACATTTAGAACCGTAAACACTGAATTCCATAATCACAACATACCATTTTCTTTCTAAGTAATATGGTTCCATCTAGTGGTCATAAGACATATTTGTCAATAAGATGCGTCGAAACCATATACGTCGTAAATATTCAACATCATTTGATTTCTTAAGAGTAATAACACTGTGTTGTTTTAATCGAGGCCGATGGGAACGGGAGGGAATAAAGTATTTGATCTACACAGAATGACCTACGTTTATTACAAAATGGTTGTACGGCGTATTAATTGGTCTGTCGTCCTTATAGAACGTTGTACATTAGAAAAAAACGCACACAAGCTAAACGTATTAAAATGCTGCTCTGTCCAACCTAAAGGTCCAGATGCCATAGTTCAATATTTTATGTGACCGCAAATATTGCAGCTGGACAATTCCCACACAGCCGCCAAAACACGCATAACGCTCAGCTGAAAATCCGAACTTCGACAATACAGAATATCACATCCAATGACGGCCGCACACCAAGCTAGTAACGCCACATCGTAAAAAACAGAGATCGTAATTCCTATACAAAAGCACTGCCTTATCGAGTCGCGTAACCATACGCAAACTGTACTGAATGAGTAAGCATGCGCAGACGGCAAAAGCTGAGCGTCGTCGCCATTGAACGACCCAACCCGTCCTCTGTTGTCATTCGAGTATCGAGTTATTTCATAGGCTAGAGAGCCGCCACTCATGTACAATCCCGCGCTCGATTGGCTAAAGCACACATCATTCAACACTTTAACGGCCCACCGGGCTTCTCTCTCATTGGTAGGTTGTCTCGCGCATCTTTGCACCGCCGAAGAAGATTGTTGGGTTTCCGCACCTTGTCACATACCTGCCGAGGTCGCTGCTCCCTTTGTGTTTTTGGGTAAGACAGACTATGAAGTCCGTTTTCCGTAAAGCGTAAGCGTTACTGTTCGTTTCTCGGTTACCTGACTGCTTGTGGCGCGCCGCTAAACGGCTGCATGTACATTTGGAGAGTGCGGAGGCAGCAGAGCACGTTAACCTCCTGGGGCCAGCTGGTTAGTTTGGGTTATGCACCCGTCCGCCGCCAGTCGTATGGTTGGCAAGCACCGTTCTGCGAGTTAGCGGTATTAACGTGCTAGTAACGGCTGGACGTCCACCCACGACGTGCCAAAACACGGGGGGACGGAGCCGAGTGGCCGAGGCGGCACGTCGGTGCGTGGCTAACGGTGAGTCTCACTGGCGACTAACTGTCCATCGATACCCACGGTTACTAGTCGTGCCAGCGCATTTGGCACTACGGACGGATGAGCGGATTAGATGGCTGTATTTGCAGGACCCGTTTTCCCCTCACATTTTGCACTAGCCGGCTGGTTTGTCGCCGGTGTCACTGAGGCTAACCAGTTAGCCGGCTGTGTGTGTCACATTCCCAGCTGCGTTACTAGTGCTGCCTGCGCTCTGCACTGGCGTTATAATAACGACTAGCTTCTGCGGGCCGGCCTGCAGCGTTCAGCGCCGTGTCGGAGCACCCTACGGACGGCGCTGCGGGACCTTCCGACCGCTCACGCTCCGCTCTCCCGCAGGCTCTGTCGCCGGGCCGGTCGGGTCCCGCCTCCCCCGCCACCATGTCCGGCACCGCCACTGTGCTTCAGCAGTTCGTCAGCGGCCTGAAAAGTCGCAGTGAGGAGACCCGGGCAAAGGCGGCCAAGGACCTGCAGCACTATGTCACCACGGAGCTCAGAGAGGTCAGGAACCTCATGCCATCCAGTCATACCTGTGCTGCACTTAGTGGCATGTCCGCAGACACATTACTGTACTGAATAGCAGAGACTGACCGCATCCATGCAATGAGGATGGTAACGTTATTGGAACAAAAATAATAACTAGAATCTCATTGAGATTCATTGTGCTTCCTGGAACTGGCGCTTACTGGATGAGCAGTTAAAATGCATGCATGGCCTTAAATGCCATCTCCTAGTTCTTATAAGCTGTACACAGTTATGTTTATGCAGGTTTTTTCTAGTTCCATGTTGGTATGGAAGATCTCTCTGCCATTAAAATATTTAATGTTGCTCCTTTTATGGATTCTGCACAGCTGAGTCAAGAAGAGGCGACCACGTTCTACGATGAGCTGAACCACCATATATTTGAGCTGGTCTCTAGCTCTGATGTCAATGAGAAAAAAGGTGGCATCCTTGCTATTGGTAAGTTGGCACCATACCATGTCCCTCTGATGGCAGCACGGGTCCCCTAGCACCTTGTTATCTTCAATTCGGTCCTCGGGTACCTACAGACAGTGCATGTTTTTGCTTCTTCTCAGCTCTCTGCCACAGTCCACGTTTTTGCTCTCGGAGCTGGAAGGGAGCAAAAAGGTGCACTGTCTGTAGGTCCCTGAGGACCGGGCTGGGAAGCACTGATCTAGATGGATTCTGCTTATGTTATGTATGCAAAGGCTGTTCTCATGCATCAGTATGAACTGTACGTTTGCATGTTATGATTTATTTTTAGTTATTACCTGTCCATTGCGACTCATCGATCGGCCGATTTCTAAGCATTTTATGGCAATTGGCCGTTTTCGAAGGTAGACCCACACTGCGCATGAGAGAGGCTTCATATTGACGTGATTACAGTAGTGCTTACGGTGGAGTGTCTGCTACCAACCAGAAGCCCTTGGTTATCTGTTTTTGCTCAGTGAGCCTGATTGGAGTTGAGGGGGGCAATGCCACCAGAATCAGCCGCTTCGCCAATTACTTGCGCAACCTGCTGCCGTCAAGTGACCCTGTCGTCATGGAAATGGCCTCCAAGGCCATGGGGCACTTGTCAATGGCTGGGGATACCTTCACGGCCGAGTATGTGGAGTTTGAGGTGAAGAGGGCCCTGGAGTGGCTCGGGGCCGACCGCAATGAAGGAAGACGCCACGCTGCGGTGAGATTCTGAAACATCGAAGTGGGATGGATCGTGCGGTGATGACAGCCTGACTGCTGGGGGTAATTGTGGCACAGGGATTAGAGTAAGAGAGAAAGCCTGGATGGATTAAACAATAACTGTGGTGAGGAATGAAAACAATATTCAACTGTTTCAGTGTTAGCACAGGGGTTGGTCAGGCTTTGGAAAGGGATGCACCTGATTGGAGGATCTGGGCACCTGTGTGTGCCAAACAGCAGTCGGTCATTGCTGAGGCAGGCTTAAGTTCTAGTGATGGAATGTGGGGCTTGGAATCGATACATGTCTGTGCATCGATGACGAGCGCTCTGCTGTGTTTGTCGTCTCAGGTGCTGGTGCTGCGGGAGCTGGCGGTCAGCGCGCCCACGTTCTTCTTCCAGCAGGTGCAGCCATTTTTTGACAACGTGTTCTATGCAGTGTGGGACTCCAAGCAGGCCATCCGTGAGGGCGCCGTGTCTGCGCTCAGGGCCTGCCTCATCCTCACCACACAGAGGGAGACCAAGGAGATGCAGAAGCCGCAGTGGTACAAGGTATATGCAGAGACACACGGAGGGGCGGGCTCATGCCCGGCCTCTCTCTGAGTTTGACTTTGATTGGCTGATTTTTCTCCTGAATGAAACATCGTTTGAACACTGTGTGTTTTTAGACTAGCCTGTATGTTTCTGCTTTCACTTTTCATTTGTGGAACCTTGCCCTTATTGATGTGTTATGATACGCTGCGTGTGGCTCCGGGGGGTAGGATTCAGATCCTCTGGTCGGCAGAATGATGTCTCTTGAGCACGGCCCTTAACCCCAATCGCTACAGGGACTGGCCCTGCTTTCTCAGTTGTTTATCACTCAGGAGTAAATTGACGATTTGACTTTAGGCTCCCATGACAGTCTTGACTTGTGTCTTTTTCTGATGGTATGCACAGTGAACTCTTCTCTCAGTGATCCCTGTAAATGTTGTCTAAGACAGCTGGTGTCATTCTGAAAGTCTGTAGTGGGTGAAAATGGGAAGAGAGCAAGCAGCTTGGTAGCTAACATTACCTTCTGCAGCTTGCTTGTCAGACCAGAGAGGGTCTCCGGTGAGGCAGGGGGTAATAATGATGATGATGATGATAATAATATCGTTGCTTTTTTCTGTCTTTGTTATTTCTTGTATGTTTATTTTCTTTCCCTTTTTAAATGTCTGTAAAGCACTTTGTAAACCATGTTAAAACGGTGCCCTCCCATGACAATGGCTTTGATGGCCTTGTGGAGCTCATGGTTTAACCTTTGCAGCTGGGTATTTGGTGAATCAGGTACTCCGCTTGCTTCCACCATCTTGCAAGCTTTAAGCATCTGAACCTCTGTCTCTTAGCAAACCTTCGAGGAGGCCGAGAAGGGCTTTGATGAGACACTGTCCAAGGAGAAGGGCATGAACCGTGACGACCGCGTTCACGGCGCCCTGCTGATCCTCAATGAGCTGGTGCGGATCAGCAGCATGGAGGGCGAGGTGAGAGTCTGTGGTCATCGGCTGGCTCGTGGAGCTGCTGTGAGGGCGGTGCCGCCGGCCGCTTGGGGGGTCGTGAGGGCCGCACCGGCCGGCCGCTTGGGGGGTGTCGCTGGTAAGGTGTGCTTCACAACCAGTAAGGTCGCCAGTCTGATCAGATAGCATTATTTAATACTTTTGCTACCTTAGTTAGGCACTGTCTTCCTCCAGTATTATTTGTATGGAACCTAGTAGGCAGTAGTTTGAGCATCTGTTAGGTTCCTTTAGGCCTGGTTGTGTAGTGTTACCATAGGAGCCATATATCATAATCAGTTAATTCATGTTGTGTAACTGTTTTAATTTATAGAGCAGGATGATTAACCAGACTAATTTCGCAGTATAAATATTTTGCTTGTTATGACCTTAGGAAACTGAATCACTTCCTTTCCAGATTCTTAGCCTGAACCGCTGCATCACCTGTTGTCTGCTTTTGAAACTTTTTTTTCTGTGATGTAGCGCATGCGTGAGGAGATGGAGGAAATTACCCAGCAGCAGCTGGTGCACGACCGGTACTGCAAAGAGCTGATGGGCTTCGGCACCAAGCCCCGGCACATCACTCCCTTCACCAGCTTCCAGTCGGTGCAGTCGCCGCAGTCTAACGCGCTGCTGGGGTTACTGGGATACGCCACACCGCAGGGGTTCCTGGGCTTTGGAGCCGCCCCCGCCCCCTCTAAGAGCACGCTGGTGGAGAGTCGCTACTGCCGGGAGCTGATGGAGGAGCGCTTCGACCAGGTGGGGGCGCCCCCCTTCCCAGCTCCCAGCAGCATTGGGATTGTGGTTCTGACCCCCACTGAATGACAGTCATCCACCAACATCCTTCTTACCTAGAATTTAATGATCATTGTTGACACACCGCAACGAAATGTGTCCTCTGCACTTAACCCATGTGACATCGTGACGCAGCAGGGGGCAGCTAATTCAGCGCCCGGGGAGCAGTGGTGCCTTGCTGGTCGGGTATTCGAACCCGCAATCTTTCAAATACTTATGCACTTCCCTAACCATTAAACCACCACTAGCCAACGAGTAGCGTTTCATACTTGCATCCAAGGTCCTGTAGGAGCCTCAAAATGTATTGAGTTGTCTGAAGCAGATGTGGAGGTTAGCAGACTTTTTTGACCATGTGTGCGATATGAGGCTAGAGCCACAATAAGCGGATTGCGGTGCCACTAGAGAGCTTTAGCTAAATGTGTGTGACATCGTATCTTATGTTGGGCTTGGTGATATGACCTTAAATCAATATCACAATTGGTTGAACATTTTACCTCAATTATGATTAATGAACAATTATTTTGGTTTTTTTTTTGTTTGTTTTTCTGCCCTCGTATGTTCAAGCCTCTTCTTTGATTTCGGTCCTGTGATGTTACGGCAGCCTTCAAATGTTCTATGTTTGTTTCATAGGTGTGTCGCTGGGTGCTGAAGTACAGAACCAGCAAGAACCCTCTCATCCAGATGAGCATACTGAACCTGCTGCCTCGCCTTGCTGCCTTCCAGCCGCACACCTTCACCGGTCAGAGACCGTCTCCTTCTCACGCGCAAACACAGATGCACACAGATTAACTACCTGTATCTTTGTGGGGACTCCCCATTCATTTCTATGGGCGTAACGGTAATCCCAACATGATGACCTTAACCCTACCCAACCCTATCCTTAGCCATAAGTGACCAGACAAAATACAAGACTTTTGGCATTTTTAGTTCATTGATTGCATTCACAGATTTTCATAAAATTTATTTTCCCCTTGTGGGGACTGAAAAAATGTCCCCATATGGTCCAGATAGGTCCCCACAATGTAATTGTGTCCCGGTGTGGATCTGCAGGGTGACCTCAGTGTCTGTCCCTTCTAGACCAGTACCTGTCGGACACCATGAGCCACCTGCTGGGCTGCCTGAGGAAGGAGAAGGAGCGCACGGCCGGCTTCCAGGCCCTGGGCCTGCTGCTGGTGGCTGTGCGCACCGACATCCAGCCCTACCTCTCCAAGATCCTGGAGATCATCAAGGCGGCCCTGCCTCCCAAGGACTTCGCGCATAAGTGTGTCTCCCCATTTACCCCCCTGTACTGTCTGCGTGCCTGTCTGCGTGTGTGTGTGTGTCTGTCTGCATGTGTGAGTCTGTTTGCGTGTCTGTCTGCGTATTTGTGTGTGTGTGTGTCTGTCTGCGTATTTGTGTGTGTGTCTGCATGCCTGTCTGCGTGTCTGTGCGTATTTGTGTGTGTGTCTGTGTGTGTCTGTCTGTGTGTCTGTCTGCGTATTTGCGTGTGTGTGTGTCTGTCTGCGTGTCTGTCTGCGTATTTGTGTGTGTGTCTGCGTGCCTGTCTGCGTGCGTGCGTGCGTGCGTGCGTGTGTGTGTGTCTGTCTGCATGTGTGAGTCTGTCTGCGTGCCTGTGTCTGTGTGTCTGTGTCTGCCTGCGTGTTGCTCCCTAGCCCCTTAAGGCATGCTCCCTCAGCTCTCAGGCCCTCCCAGCCTGCGGGGGCCCGTGTTGCCCCACCTATCTGCTGCTTTCACACAGATGTCCCCCCACAGGCGGCAGAAGACCATGCAGGTGGATGCCACGGTGTTCACATGCATCAGCATGCTGTCGCGCGCCATGGGGCCCAGCATCCAGCAGGACGTCAAAGAGCTGCTGGAACCCATGCTGGCGGTGGGGCTCAGGTGTGTGCTCCCCCCCACCATCAGCGTCGTCAGTGTGACCCAGTCCTTCTGGGGTGTCTCTGTCGGTCGTTCTCCTCTCATAGCTCTGGAGAGGAGAGACAGGTTCAAAATAGGAGATTTTGAGTGCTAGTGTGCCGATATCTGGTGACTCTGATTTCGATATGTGAATGTGCTGGGAGGGTGTTTAACGGCGCCTCCTGCTGGCCATGCCCGCAGCCCCGCCCTGACGGCCGTGCTCTACGACCTGAGCCGCCAGATCCCTCAGCTGAAGAAGGACATCCAGGACGGGCTGCTGAAGATGCTGTCCCTGGTGCTGATGCACAAGCCGCTGCGGCACCCGGGCATGCCCAAGGGCCTGGCACACCAGCTGGCCTCGCCCAGCCTCACCAACATCCCTGAGGCCAGCGACGTGGGCAGCATCACACTGGCCCTCCGCACACTGGGCAGCTTCGAGTTCGAAGGTGAGGGGCGGGGTACGGGCCGGGGGCAGGAACGCTCACTCTGCTTACACACGGCATCTGTTGTGTTGCACTGGCCTGAGCTTCTGCCGTCTTGCCCATTTGATTTCCTCTGCTGCCCCCTGGAGGACGGGCTCCCCCTTTGGGTCTGGTTAGGGTTAGGGCTTCCTCTGCTGCCCCCTGGAGGATGGGCTCCCCCTTTGGGTCTGGTTAGGGTTAGGGCTTCCTCTGCTGCCCCCTGGAGGGCAGTCTGCTGTGATCTGCCCTAAAAGCAGTGTAAACCATTGTAAACCCCCGCCCCCCCCCCCCCCCAGGGCACTCCCTGACGCAGTTTGTACGTCACTGCGCCGATCACTTCCTGAGCAGCGAGCACAAGGAGGTGCGGATCGAGGCGGCGCGGACCTGCTCCCGCCTCCTCACGCCCTCCGTGCACCTGCTGGGTAACCATGGCCACGTGGTGAGCCAGACGGCCGTGCAGGTGGTGGCTGACGTGCTCAGCAAGCTGCTGGTCGTGGGCATCACTGACCCAGGTGAGACTGGCACAGCCCCGATGGCCGCCGGCGACGACGGTAGCAGCCGCCCTCATGGTCCCTTTGTGCGTCCCCCCGCCACCCAGACCCCGATATCCGCTACTGCGTGCTGGCCTCACTGGACGAGCGCTTCGACGCCCACCTGGCCCAGGCGGAGAACCTGCAGGCGCTGTTTGTGGCCCTCAACGACGAGGTGTTTGAGATCCGCGAGCTGGCCATCTGCACCATCGGCCGGCTCAGCAGCATGAACCCGGCATTCGTCATGCCCTTCCTGCGCAAGATGCTCATCCAGGTGCCTGGAGCGCGTACCCGGGCTCTGTCTGCTGGGGCGGCGACATTTCTGAGTTTGCCACCAGATGGCAGCATAATACTGTGTTTAAGCTTCTTTGGTATGTCTTGTGTGCTTCAGTGCTGCTGGTGTCCTGCAGTTGATTATCAGCATATGATAAACATTAAAATAATTCTAAGGTATTATTGCCCCTTAGATCCTTACTGAACTGGAGCACAGCGGTGTGGGTAGGAACAAAGAGCAGAGCGCCCGCATGCTAGGCCACCTGGTATCCAATGCCCCCCGCCTTATACGGCCCTACATGGAGCCCATCCTGAAGGTACGTCTCCACCCCCCACTGCACATGGGACCTCTCACAAGCATGTCACCTCACTCCTCTTCAATTCCTTTCTTTGCTGCTTCCCCCTCTTGCTGCAGGCCCTCATCTTGAAGCTGAAAGACCCAGATCCCAACCCAGGGGTGGTGATCAGTGTCCTGGCCACCATCGGAGAGCTGGCCCAGGTGGGGCTGCGCTGGGAGCCTCGTGGTCTCATTCCCGACCCACTGAATGTTGATTTGTGCCGCGGAAGCTGTTTGAGTCTGCAAGGTGGAGCCATCGGAGGGGTTTCTCAATACCAAGAACATAAAGACTGTACTTGTGGTCTTGGCAAGAATGAACTAGGGGTGCAGTGAATTACGGGATTGTTCACATTCGGCAAGAATGCAACCGATGTGTCCTTGATATTTCGGACGGGGTTATAACAACATTGGGATTTTTACCGTCCTCTGTACTTCTGTTCTTGAGTATTGGAATGGTTCTTCAGCAACAGGTACACGAGAACACAAAGACAGTCAAGCACACGTTTTGAGAAACACCCCGACCGTTCCTTGTTTTGAATGTCTGAGGCCAGTGTTTGTGTTCTAGACCTCTGTTCTCTGTGCTTAGGCACTAGTCTGTAAAACTTGTCACCCCCCCTCGCTGTGCTACCCATTGGAACTTTTACTTAATTCGGGTTCAAATGCTGCCTTTAGTTTATCCGTATGTATGATGTCATCTCGTGTTACGTGGGCTTTAGTGTCAGTTGCTAAGTAGAGCTTGACAGTCTTTTTATATGAGGCGGTCTCCTTACTGTCCAACTGCGTGTCAGCGTGCCGTCGCTGGCTCATTAACTGGATGGTTTTCCGAAAGATGGCACTTCCCCTGGGCTTCCCAGCCTGGCCACTACCGTGTCTCTGCACAGGTGAGCTACCGTAAGGTGGCCACTAGGGGACGACGTAGGGCTGGCAGTATGCCGGACCTGAGCTGGAGAGCAGGCAGGCTAAGTGCAGAAGCTGCTCATGGACGGGTATAGGGAGAAGCAGGCCAGCTGGTGGGATGGAGACCAGAGCCTCTGAGTGTACGCTTCTGTGCTGAGAGATGCTGATGTCTTCTCATGCTCTGCTTGTGTGTGTGTGTGTGTCTCAGGTTAGTGGACTTGAGATGAGGAAGTGGATGGATGAGCTGTTCCCCATCATCATGGACATGCTGCAGGACTCCTCTTCACTGGCGAAGAGACAGGTACACCTCGCTCTCCTGACTGGGATCAGGAGAGTCTTAAAACCGTCATCCTTGGTTCCTGTAGGTGATTCTGGTGACACATTCTCTGCCCCCAACTCTTAGCCTACCTGCTAATGTACTTATGGTGAGGAAAAGGAAATTAATTTTGTAATGGAGAGTAATGCTGTAAATTTTATTAATTTAATTAATCAGTTGTATGTGGTGACCTTGGGGTTTATTGGGTAATAAAGCAATATTCATTCTGAAATTTATGGTTGTCATTTAGCATGTTTTAGCATTATGAAGTGCTGGAGGGGTGAAAATTAAGGTTCCCTTGAGGGTCGATCTTTGTCCCTGAGGATGGTTTGGTAAATTTGCTTGTGGGATTGGTGCCGGTCATTCGCTGCCGGCCTGCACTTACGGCGGCCGGCCTGCACTTACGGCGGCCGGCCTGCACTTACGGCTGCCGGCCTGCACTGAGTCTTACTGCAGAAGATACCTGATGTTTCCCCCCAGCTGGAAACTGCTAAAAAGTTGCGTTCAGGGAATGTGGAAAACCTGGAGGGCAGTAACCTGTCATGCTGTAATCCCTGTCTTTCATCCAAAGTAAAGGTGCAGTGTGACTTTGATGTACAATATACCGTGGATGCCAAAAAGGCTTCATTTGAATCTGCACATACATCATGGTCTCCTCCTTGCCTGGGGTTTTATTTTCCTCCATGTTTTACTGATCGGCTGCCTCGTAAAGTCGTTTTGATTTAGCAGTTCTGTTTTGACAAAATCCAGAAGTGGCCCGGTCATCCAGTCCTTTGAAAAATGAAGCTTGTCACTGGATGCTGTATTGGGCTTCATCCTCCCATCCTGCAGGTAGCGCTGTGGACCCTTGGGCAGCAGGTGGCCAGCACTGGGTACGTAGTGGAACCGTACCGCAAGTACCCATCGCTACTGGAGGTGTTGCTCAACTTCCTCAAGACTGAGCAGAACCAGGGAATCAGAAGAGAGGTAAGCTGCCATCTTGGATTTCATAGCTACAATATCGCTTATGTAAGGGCTACGAATTGATAAGAAAAAAAAAAACTTATCGCAGTATTCTGTGATCACACCTGACAATAAAACTTACACAGAATACACACATGCAGTATGAAGAATTGGGTTAGGGGAGTGAGACTTCAAAACTTAGTAACTTACACCAAACAAAATGAATTAAATAGTAATACGTCATACCAGTGGACAATAATGTAATTATATGCCTTTTAAATGAAAATAATAATAATAAAATAATACATTTATATCATAAACATCTATGGGTCTTATGAGTCTAATGAGAATAGCCTAGTAACCGCTTCTTCCAAACACACTGAACTCCCTAACTAGTTGATTGCCAAGACTTGAGGGGCAATCGTATTAGATTCGTGGTGTGGTATCAAGCGTTGTAGCAGGACTCTGTGTGTGTGTGTGTGTGTGTGTGTGTGTGTGTGTATGTGTGACACACAGACACACAGTGCCAGTCAAAAGTTTGGACACACCCACCCATGGAAAGGTTTTCTTGTACCATTATCGACATTTTAGAATAATGACATCAAGACTATAAAAAAAAAAGCATTAATTTATGCACTGAATAAAAACATATTAAACTTGGCAGGGAGGCCGCTCTGGGGGCTGGGACTCAGAAGGTTGCCTGTTTAAATCGCTGGGTGGGCAGTGGGATCCCGTCATTAGGCCCCTAACCCTGGTGACTCATGGCACTGGCTGGCCCTACGGTCTCTTCTACACCAGTTCCTTGAGGTGGCCTCCTGGGATGGTTTCCCAGCTGTCCTGAAGGAGCTCCCATACATGTTCTGCTCTGCCCAAACTCCTCCAAACATCTCTACTGTGTTTAGGCCATGTGGCCAGGTCATGTGATGCAACACGCTATCATTTTGTAGGTGGCTTGGTGTGTCCAATCTTTTGACTGGTACTGGTATGTCCATAATGCATCTTGAAATATGCATAAAGCTCTTTGACGCCATCATGGTGTGACAAATTGCTTTAGAGTGGGGCTCTCCTCCCCCAGTCTGATAAGCAGCTTCCCCCCCCATCTTGCCCCATGACTAGGCTATCCGTGTGCTGGGTTTGCTGGGAGCTCTGGATCCTTACAAGCACAAGGTGAACATTGGCATGATTGACCAATCCCGGGATGCCTCTGCAGTCAGCCTTTCTGAGTCCAAGTCCAGCCAAGACTCTGGTGAGTGCCGAGTCTGTCCATCAGGTGTGGATTGCCCTGACATTAACATCGTTCCCCCTGTTTGTGTCCAAGACACGTTTACCCACCCCTGGGGGGGGGGGGCGCTCCATGCAGGTTTAAACGGTAACATTGGAACCGTAGCTTCAAGGATTTGTTCATTGAGTACAAAGGTTAGATGGAACATCTCTTGATGGTTGCTATGAGTCATTTCTTCCAGGAATGTGCTATGTGAGGTGTTGGTGCACGTTCAAAACGCTACACGTGAGCAGATGCGCAGCAAATATTTTTACCTGTTCTCCTCATGGTCCCAGTTTTTTTTTGCCTTTCAGATCCACCAGCTTATGTGTTTCCTCATGTCTGGCATCATTTCTTGTTCGCAGATTGTATCATTACCAATGTGGATACAGAGCTGTTGCATTGCCCTGTGGGTCAGACTCTATTTGAGGTTATAATTCTATACCTTAAGGCTTTTTGCCATAGTGGATCTTTAGTCTGAAAGTCCTGCATAGGCATCTGTTAGTTTTCATTAAACCAGGCACAGAAATGTGGTTACAAATGAACAATGGGCAGCAAAGGCTTGAGCGGAGCCTGTTTGTGGATCGGTGGTTTAGCAGCCGTCTGAAATAGACACTCTCCTTAGACTGAGGTTTCAGGAACCTAAACACGGCCAGACTGCACAGCGCTTCAGCTTCCAGGCTTGTCAGTGTGGATTTGCGGTTACGCTGCCAGCAGGGAATCTTCTGTTCCTCTGAGCACCTGTTCTAGACTAATTGGCTATTTTAGTAAAATGTTAAGCTGCTGTAAGAGACTAGTGCATAAAGACTAGCTGTCTGTGTTGTGCTTCTCTCATGGTGCTCAGATTCTAGGCATCAGAGTAACAATTATGGCCGCCCTCTCTTGGGGCTCGAATATGTTCAGATGTGCGGTTTAGTGCTGTGAAAATAGTCAGCGTCTTACCGACCGATCAAGACTTAACTCTTGACTGGTAACAGTTTACCTATGACTTTCTCAGCTGTGCTGATAGACAAACTCCTCGGCGGATTTTCAGGCTCTGATTCCTACCTGTGGTTCGCCGAAGCTGATGGGAACGGGCCTGGTGACTTGCATATACAAACTGTGAGGCCCCCGCAGGGCAGGACTTAATGCGTTTAGCAGCAGGGTGCTGTAAAAGCCTCGCGGGAAGTGGAGTGGCTTGCCGTGGGGGTGTGGGGACCTGGCCAGTCTGTCGGCATGCGGAGCGCTGCAGTCTGTGTCAGATCAGCTCTCTGCTGCTTAGCCGCCATTGCTCTTGATTGCACAAGTGTGTGTTTTTCTTTTTCATGTTTTCCCAGTGTTGTGTACCACTCTTTTTTTCTGTTCCTTAAATTGATGAATGATGAAACAAAGGGTTTGCAGGGAAAACTAGTTTTGACCGGTCAATTGCATGGGGTGACGAACAGAAGGAGCTTCTGCTGCCCCCTACTGACAGCATTCACTGCACCTCAATCCCCCAGGTCTCTGTAAGAAAGGATGGAACAGTTCTGGGAAAATTGGATGCAAATTAGGAAACGGGGGTTCTCTTCCATCCTGATCCGGGTAATTCCGGTTACCTGTGGTGAACATTGCTTTGCTTGGTTATGTAGGTTTTCGCTGATTGCTCAGTGATGGGTAACTTATTAAACAGTGTAAACTGAAAGGAGATTCCCAGCCCAGGCAATATATCTGTGAGAATTACATGAGGGATCGACATGCCCAGGCTACAGTCCTGTGACACACAGACACAGAACGTCAGGTTAAGGTGCGCATGCATACAGAGACGCAGAGAGATGCAGACACGCACACAGAACACACGGGTAGAGTGTGCGCGCTCACACACACACACACACACACACACTCATATACACACACACACACGTTTCTATTGGTCTTGTGGTGGTTGGCTGGCACATTTGCCACACATTCCTGGAGTCTTCAGCTGTACAGCTACTAATGATGATAATTCTAATAAGGCTTGTGTGTGTGTGTGTGTGTGTGTGTGTGTGTGTGTGTCTGTGCGCGTGTTCGTTCGCTCGCTCGCACGCACGGTCGGCAGCTCTCAAGCCCTGAGCACGTCGACCCCTGACATACCTGCAGTATATTTACATGACGTGACACCTGCACTGTCTGTGGATCTTGCATCTGACACTGCTTGAAGATGGGAAGGTTTATTATTTCTTTAGAGGGCATTTGCATCAGAGTCACTAATAATGCTGACAGTGGATATTGCTGATTTTCCTCTGAGGTGGTGGAAGGGTCTCCTTTGCCAGGTATGAGCTGAGTTTGGTTTCAGCGGCCATGTTGTTCTGAGTCAGCGTGGTGCTTGTGTCTCCCCAACCAGCGGACTACAGCACCAGCGAGATGCTGGTGAACATGGGCAACCTGCCGCTGGACGAGTTCTACCCGGCCGTGGCCATCGTGACACTGATGCGGATCCTGCGGGACCCCTCACTCTCCAACCACCACACTATGGTGGTGCAGGCTGTCACCTTCATCTTCAAGTCCCTGGGCCTCAAGTGCGTGCAGTTCCTGCCCCAGGTCATGCCTACCTTCCTCAACGTCATCCGCGTGTGTGACGCCAACATTCGAGAGGTACAGCTCCGGTCACGCCACAGCTGACTTTCCGTCATCCGAAAAATGATCAGAGAGCAACTGCTTACCGATTTTAAGCCAGTGAAATTAAAACAGTGTTCAGTCTGCATCATTTAGCTAGTGACCACATTTGTTGTACACCCTCGTTTACAAAAGCCCTCTAATTGTATGTGCCTACTAATCTTTGATATTAACTTACCGTTTTTGTCAGTCCAGTATTATGCAGTGTTCAGATTGCGTGTGCTCAATTCAGTCTGGGTTTAGTGATCCTCGGTGCAGGTGATCCGGCCGTGTTGCTCATGCCTCATCTCTCTCCTGCCAGTTCTTGTTCCAGCAGCTGGGCATGCTGGTCTGCTTCGTGAAGATCCACATCCGCCCCTACATGGATGACATCTTCACCCTCATTAGAGTAAGTGCTCAGTGTCCTCTGGCACCCACTGGTTTCATCTGTACGCTTCTTATTTTCCAGTGGAATTTACAGTTCGTTTAGTTTTGTGTGAGCTGGATAATTAGCCTGATAAGTGGCACTCATCAAGCTGGAAGAGAAAATCCCGTGTGTGTGTGTGTGTGTGTGTGTGTGAGAAGCATGGCTTCTCTTTAGAGGGTTCTGTAGCAGATTTGGACTCCCTTCGCCCTGTGGATGCTCAGCAGCTACATTTTTCCCAACAACCCGCTAGATACTTTTCCTGATTTGAGGACGTCTGAATTAGATTTGAAGCTCCCTTTCACTACTGAATATCATAACTCCAAGATCCACCAAGAGCCCAATTTGGATGATGCCTATGCAGTGGTAGGACCCCACGTACCCCTGGGCAGCAATAACGTTCTGATCTGTGGAAGGAACGAACTAAAGCCCTGCGCTGATTTACAGTGCAGTCGAGCGCGGAGAGGAAATGTGAGGAAACGTGAGACTCCAAGAGCGAGACAAAGGGCCCTTTGTTTTGCTGTCTGTCTGCCATGCTGCTACAGATGGGAGCAGGAACGGCCATCGGAGACGGCAGGCATATAAAATACCCCTGGCTGCTGTCCCTCGCCGAGCCGTCCCCGTCCCAGAGTGGGAAAGCAGAGACGGGCAAGCTGGCCAGCGGGCCGATCGACCCAGAGAGCCCCCATGGCTGCTGACAGCAGGCGTGCCCAGAGACTGAGTGGGAGGTTCCTCTCTGTGTGCTCATGTTACACTTCGCTTTACTGTCAGGCCTTCGTCAGGTGCTCCTTCAAGGTCACTGCGAGATCTGGCTGTGACCCATCTCATCCAGGGTTATGTTTAGGTTGCTCAACTTACAGAATCTTAGTTTGATCCCTGTAATTCCCTGTTTTTTTATGGTGGGCATGATTTAAGTTGAGTAGCCTGTATGCCTGAGCTGACCTGTGCTGTTTTCATGGCGACGCGCTCTGTTCCACCTCTGTGGTGTTGGGTAGTGTTGGCTGATATCAGTACTGAGCCCCTCTTCCTGTATTGGTGCTGTGGCCGGGCGGCGTGATGTTGACTGGGCATTAAAGGCGGCTTTCCGGAAGCCCCACTCCCCTCTTGACCATTTGCCCTTTGTTCCTCTCCCTGCGCAGTGGTGTAAACCTCAAAGAATGACTGTGAATCAAGCCTCAGTATGAAGCGTTTTGCCAGTGAGCCTCATTTCCTCTCAGAACCGCAACCAGCCCTGTGTTTGTGATGGAGCAGAATGAACACGGGCCTCTGGTTTCCCCAAATGCGCTGCTGGGTTTGGCACATTTCCTCGGCTCACTGACTTGCCTTTGATTGCAGGAATACTGGACACCCAACAACCCCATGCAGAACACCATCATCCTGCTGATCGAGCAGATCGTGGTGGCTCTGGGTGGGGAGTTCAAGCTCTACCTGCCTCAGCTCATCCCCCACATGCTGCGGGTCTTCATGCATGACAGCAGCGCCGGACGCAGCGTCACTATCAAGGTAAGAGGTGATGCGGCTGTAAGCTTGGCCAGGCTTCCTCGAGGTCGGTCTGGGACTGTCCGGACCTTGGGGACCCCCCAGACAGTCCACATTTTTACTTCCTCTCAGTGGACTGGAGCAAAAATGTCTCCTGTCTGGGTGGGAGCTGGAAGGGAGCAAAAACGATCAGGACACTGACCAGGTTGTTTTGTTCCAGCCCCCTGAAAAACCTCCTCATTCTTATAAGTTTTTTTTTTGGTTTGTTAACTCGCAACCAAGCTGGTTGCAGTACTGCCCTCTGATTGGTCAAAATGCATTGAGATTCCAGTGTTCTGCACATGGATTTTCTGAAGAAAAAAGGGCATATTCTGTATATTATTCATTATTAATAGTATCGCGCATTGCAATGTATTGATGCAGAACTTGAAAATTTCCAATCTCTTACTTAAAACAGTTGAAGAGAATGGATTTGTAATTTATGCAAGCTAATGCTAATTCCCCAGCATTTGATGCTAACATGACACTGTGATTCTCACATATAAGTTAGTGGAAATTAGCACATAGTAAATCATGATGTACACCATTTTTGGGCAAGCGAACACCACACAAACCATATTGTCTAGGTTTACTACAGGGGTTGCATTGTTGTTTAGCGAGAATTGGTGTTAATGATTCTGCTGACAGCAAAAGAAAAAATCAGTTTTCTTTGTTTGCCATTTAACTTCGGATTTTCGATCAATACTATTACCTAAATATCCCACGTCTGAAATATCATTTTATATTTCCATCAGTTCAAATGTAAAATGAGCCTTATATAGTGAAAAGAAACTGGATCAGGTTGGGTCAAGACAATGTTGTGAGATAAAGTGGTGCCCATTAGGCACTGTCATAAAATTCCATAAATTCTATTGCTGTTTTAGTTACAAATCAGACATGCACACTCAACTCTTTCACAAAGCAAAGTTCACCTGCCAGTCGCAGCTTCTCTGCTCTCTGTACGTGGCACCAGTGCCGGATCCGTCAGAACGGCGGACAGGCTTCGTGGCACCAGTGCCGGATCTGTCAGAATGGCGGACAGGCTTCGTGGCACCAAGGTTCTGAAGCTGTGCTTTGGCAGAGTGTGGGCCAGCTTTTCAAGGTGCTTTAAATCCAGATAGTCTGGCCCTTGGCTCTATTGTAATGATTTAGTGCAAAGTGTCTTTATTGGGAACACATGTCTTTGCTTTAACCTAAAACAAACACTGAAGCATTTTCAGTTTAAAATGGTGAGCAGATTTGATACCGATAATTGGGGTTCAAGGTAAAACTCGTCCCTCACATGTCCACCTCAGCAGCAGCGACCTGGAACAGGTCCGAGACGACTTTCACTCGGCGAAACATGACAACACTCATGCGGTGATCAAAAAAAAGCTCCCCGTCCAACATTCTTTGGAGCAGAGGCTTCTGGGAGATGCTGCGAAAGATTAGAGCAGTGAAAGTCGCTTGCCTTTGGTAACCATGGACAGGAGACCCTCTTTAACGTCTGTATTACTGGAAATACGACCATGTCCATGTCCAGGACCCGAATCCCGTTTTTCCGATTAGAAACAGAAACGACCTTCCAGTGCATTTATTTTCCTTGCTGTCTGACTGTGTGTCTGCTCTTCCCATGTGGAATTGCTATTCATTATAGTGCCTCATAAAAAAACGTGAAGTAATAACTAATAATTTGGACATTTTTTTAAGCCCTTATTTGTCTGCAAGGATTAAGATGTCCAAACTCATCTCATCCATAAATTCTGGGATTGCCAGCCGGTGTTTGGACCCAGGTGGCCTCATAAAAAAGAGGGAAAATTTTGGCTTTGCGCTTCA